TTTTTTTTTCTGAGCATTTTTGGAATTAAACGTTAAAAGACAAACCAAACCAATGAGAGAAAATAACGTCACAAAGCAGTGAGATCCAAGCACATACACACAATTCACTACACAATGGGTGGACATGCGTGTGAAGACAAGTTGCTACAGACACTGGAGAGAAACAGGAAGCTGCACACGCCAACATGGATTTAAATCATGGGTCTGTATCGATGGACCATCAGGAAAACACAGATTTATTTTCACAAGGATTCAGGTTGTAGAAGAAGGTGCACTTTAAAGAATGGTGACCAAACCTTCCAGACCCCGTCCGCCAGTGTTTTCAAACCAAAGTCTTGCACCTGAACTTTTCAGATAATCTAACCTTTCTGCTATTATCTAAGGAAATACAAACAACACAGTGCACACACACATACACACACATGCCATGCTAACTCTGTGACCTGACACAGATACGCTTTATCTCATGCTCTCATGTGAATAATGGAGGAGTTGTGTAAAATATTGATAAGTCATTTTGAATATTTTGTGCCCGTTCGGTGAGTTTAGTCTTCAACTGTCTTATGGTCTCCGCAATAAAGACGCTTTGAGCCAATAATAATAATAATAGGAAAAGAAAGGAAAAATGAAATTCGTCGTCATCATCCTTCCAGTTCCATGAGGGCTCGTGCCACAGAAAAGGAACTGAGCTGAATAATCCTTGCAGACGAAAAGAGATTTGGTGACAGAGACAGATGGAGAGATTTAGGAAAAGAAAGAGAGAAGCGAAAAAGGAGAAGAAGGTAGACGGAAGAAACTGGAGACAGAGCAGAAGCGTCCTGACCTACTTCCAATCAAGCTCCATCACAAGCAGGTACCTGTGTTACGCCTCCCACTGGCCTGCTCCATAAACACACACTCAAATGGCCTTTATATACTCTGTAGACACACACACACACACTCACACACACACAGACCCAGGTGGACACACACCGTCCATCGGACTCGCACACACTCATCCCTCAGCTCAATAGAGTGAAACTGCTGCTTCACAGTGTTGTGCACGCACACAGCAGAACGCACAAACACACACACACACACACGTAAACACACAAACACATTGACACTCTTCTGAAATCGTCACTGAGGCAACAGAAGTTCAGAAATGTCCACTGAGCTTAAAAAGGGACTTGACACCTTTCCAACTCCGAGCTCATTTGGAACCTGTCCACGCCTGGCAAGGTCAGGGCCGCTGTTGTCAAACTCATGATTCTCACACTGCTGCGTATCGCTCACCCATGGTCTCTCTCGTTCTCTCTCTCTGCCCCCCCCTCCCCCTCCTCCCCGCCTCACCCCTGGCTCTCTGTGCTCTGCTCCCTTCTTCCTCTTTTTTTTTTTTTTTT